ACTTTCCTCTTGTCCCACTATCATGTTCAGCCTTCATTTGAGTTTCAGTAATTCTGCTCGGTTACACTACCCTTGGTCACACCCTACCAGTCCTACACCCTCCTCACCACCGATTTGGATCACTTGTTCCCTTGTCCCTGGGTTTGTTAACACCACTACCTTTACCCCCACCTCCCCCTCTCCCAAATCCCCCCTGGAACTATTGGTCCTGATTGTTCATCCAGCCTATTTTATTTAGACAGACCTGCAGAGATAATAACATGCACAAAAACAAGACAGAGCAAAACCAAGCAACAAAATAAAACAAAGCAACAACACCAACACCAACAGCAATGACAACAAAACAAAATACAACAACAAGAAAGAAAAGCTTGTAGTTAGTTCAAAGATTGTTTGTTGGCCTTTAGGAGTGTTTTCTGGTTGAGTCTGATGGGGTGCCAAGCCCTGCCCCCAAAGTCTATTTTTGGCATTCCCGGGGGACTTCATTGCTCTGTTCCCTTGCTGTTCTGTTCCAGACCCTTGGTGTTTTGCCTTGGTGTGGTGTGATCAGATCGGTCAGAATTCCCACACCGTGTCTCCAGTGTTGTCCCCTGCAGGGCTATGGATCAGTGAGGGATGTCGTGTCACATAGTGGGGCCAGCCACATTGTCTTCTCTGTGGATTGGCTGCTCTGAGCGGGAATCTCATCGTCAAGATTTGGTGGGCCAGGATGTGCTCCATTCTCTCTTCCTCCCCCTTCATTTGCTCCCAGGTGCTCTGATCAGATATGTCCCTCTCCCAGAACTGTGTCTTCAGTGCTGTCCTCTGAAATAAATTCTTCTGGGGGGAGGGGCAGCGTTTTCACATCTTTCATGTGGGAGACTCAGGTTTGATTGTTGATCAAGGCACCTGAAGCTGTGGAGGGTTCTTTGTTCTATGACGCTGAACGGTGGAGCTTCCAGACTTAGACGAAGAAATAAACCCTGTCAATATACTTCTGAAAAGTATCAAGTAAAAATCCTATGAATCAGAATTCTGATTCTCAAACCGTCTTGAGGATGGCATAAAATTCGTTCTGCGATGGCTTAAGTGTTGTTCTGCTATGCATGAGGTTGGTATGAATCGGGTTAACTGGACAGCAGCCAAAAACAATGATATAAACTGATAGGCATCTGTTCCTGACCAAGCCAAAGGGGGTTAGACAGCTTTTTGCATCAGATTATAGAAAGAAAGTGTAGACAGAGTTACAACCAATAACATGTGGGAGTGGGAAGAAAGAAATTGTCTTTAGAGTGAAAACATTTTATGTGCAACATGCATTGAAGGGGAGCAACACTCCTGACTTCAGTTAGTAGCAAGTCCTCTGGACCCTCGCTGCCTCCATTAGAGCTTTGCCCACCTGGCAGTGCCTTTAGACAGCATTCAGTGACATGTGTGGTGACTGAAGCCTGGAATACCTAGGCACCTGTTTTAGACAGGGTTCTCTAGAGAGATAAAACCAAATTGCTGATAATTTAATATATTTATTTATAAAGATAATTAGATATATAACAAGAAATGAACTGTTAAATCATATACAGATAAATATATAATACAAGAA